ACCATTACATGATGGTCCACTTTAGTTTTTATCATTGTGCAGATATGATCACATTATATTTTCATGTATCACCATTTTTGACAAATTCCTGTGCTTCTGTTTTGACCATATTTCTGATTTAATAGCTGTGGCCTATAGTCGTTAACTTTTGGTCAGTCATGGGGCCTTTGAAAAATTTTTGAAAGCTGTAGACTCTCTATTCCATCTTAAATGCTTTTATAAGAGAAAAAAATTGCAATTAATTTAGTGGATTCATGGATCTCCTGAAATATATCTCTGGGCCAAAAACCTCTGATTCTAGATTATTCCACTGGTTTTATTTACTAAAGGTTGAGTTTTTTTTCATTTATGGACATATCTGAGACTTTGAAAATCACAACTTCATTCTTTATTGTAGCAGCAGAAGTAGGATAGAGGTTCACAAGCAAGGTAAGCATACAACTGGCTCATTGCTGCCATGATTCCAGGTTTAGTAAGGTGAACAATTTAAACTGTTTATGAACTTGTTTGGATTCATTATTCATCTTATTGTTTATCTCAATCTTAAATAACAATGGGTGATGAGAGATCAAAGATTTATAAATGACCTACAAATTTTTATTAAATTTCAGAATACAACTTATTAATAAAAAGCATCCTAAAAACTTTTATACACTTCAATGATGAATACGGTTCAAAACAGCATCAACTGTTTCAGCATTGATAATTGAAGGAATATACATAGCAGGTTAACAAGATTTGAGGGTAAAAGAGTCCCAAAGGTTTTCCTTTTTATATATAATTTCTCAAGAATTTACTACAGGAGTTAGTCCCACCAGCACAATGAGGTAACCAAAAAAGAAGAAAACATAGGGTCAGAAAATAGGGGAGCGTTGAAGATTTGTCCTACAATATCAGCTGTGTAGTTCACCAGGATAGCAATCAGTTCAGATCGGATCCATGGAAAGATTCAGGAGGAATGTTTCCAGGGAGGTGGGGGGGGAGGAAGAGTATTTTATAAGTTGACCTCATACGGTATTGTGTATCTTATTGAAAATTGATAGAATTTTAGAGGGTTGGGGACTGACCAGGCACAGAGACAAAATAAACAAACATGACAAAATGAAAAAAGAAAGCAATTATTAACTTTAGAGGAAAACAAGTATGTGAATGGAAATCAAGTGGTAATACACTATCTGGCTTAACAATGAACAATTTTTACATAGTTATAGTAATGCAAAATCAGAATATTTTAAGTTTATATAACTCAACATTGTGACACAACTAATGGGAAAGAAGCCTCTTGGCTTTGTAAAGCTCTCACATATTCCTGGGATTCTAGAAAGTCATGTGCATATGCAGGGCTATGCACAAACCTAGGAAAGACCTGAGAATGCCATAGTGCTCACTTCTGGATAACGTTGTCTCTGCAAAAGCAGGAAGTGAAGGCTAAAGCAGTGTTATAAAATGTCAGGGCAGTGAAAGTGTGCTAAACACACACATAGACCCCTTTGAAAAAAGCTGGGACACTTATTGTTGTAAGGCATTTAAAAAAATCTCTGACCATTAAGCTAGCTGATCAGAGACTTTCTTGACCAGTTATGACAAGTAAAATAGACTTTACAGAATTAGTTCAGGAAAGTTACTAATCAAACATGAACAATAATGAACAGCAATAGTAAGAAACTGTGGGGACAGGAGAAATTTTATTGCCAGAGTAAGCACATTATATTATTCAAAATGCCCAGTTTTCAACAGCAACAACAAAATAATGGGACATGCATCTTAACAGGAAAGTATGTCAACAGAAACCAATCAATAGAAATGGTCCTTGAGTAAGCCAGATACTGAATTTATTAGATAAAAACTTTCAATCAGCTATTATAAATATATTTTAAAAACTAAAGGAAGTTGTGTCTAAAGAACTAAATGAAAGTATGAGAACAATGAGAATGATTGCTAATATATTTGGAATTTCTTTTGTGGGTGATGAAATGTCCTAAAATTGATTGTAGTGATGGTTATACCACTTTTTGGATATGTTTAACCCCATTAAATTGTATACTTTCAAAGTGTGAATTTATAGTATGTGAATTATACCTTAATAAAGATGTTATTAAAGAAAAAATTCCAAGAAATAAGTGAAAGAACTAAAGTGAGGTATTTGAAATATTCCTTTTAATCTAGATGTGTGACATATTTAATTTTTTTCTCTTCTGTTTCTTCTTAGATTTTAAAAAGAAGGAAAAAACATGCCAAATTATTGGTTGGTATCCTCCTGAACACTATAAACAGAAATACAAGGAATGTTTTGATTTCTTTTTAAAGGAAGCTTTTCTGGGGAGGTAATTTTTTTTTTTCTTTTAGACAAAATAAAGTAATTATTATTGGAGAACTAAGAGTGAGTGGATGAATGAGCAATATGCCAGTCAACCCTGAACTGATCACTTCACACAGTCTTGGGGATGCACCCTGGGTAACGTTCCCAGTCTGTCCAGCTTTCAAACCTCAACAAACGAATATCATCCTTAGAAACTGGGGAAATTCCACCCCTCTAACTTCTCTTTGCCTTCAATTTCTCTAGCACAGTGACAGTGAATGACAGCTCACCATTTCATTGTTGGATAAAGTCACAGCCACCCAAATTGACTTATTTCTGTTTCTTTCTCATCTTATAAATTATTCCATTATGGGACTACTTATGAGGATTCATTTTTGAAGAACTCGAACTTGCCCACTTAAAAATCCGTTTGCTCCTTTCTCCTGCAAAAGCAGTCAGCCTTGCAGAGAATGAGACATGAAAATAACATGAAACCATATCTTAATAACGTCTGTCTACATTCATCAGCAGGCCCTTGCTCCACCTTCACTTTTGTACGAAGATGCAACTGACTAGTCAAGGCATTTCTCAAATCAGGCATTTTCCATAAAATCTGTTTTTATTTACCTAAGTAGGTAGACCTTCTTTCTCTAAGCTTTTCAATATCACTGACTTAGCACTTAATTTTATACTCTACCTTTTTTTTTTTTTTTGAAGACTTACTGGAGATTTTCTATTGTGCCAGGCAATGTAGGTACTGGAGACAAATAGAGAATGAAAGATTTACAAATAGATAAATGAATAATCCAACTAGTCTCTTTCCTCCCCTCTTCAGCTAGTTTGAGCAGGGAAGCCCATTTTTAGAGTCTGTCCTACAGGACCCAGCACTGTATTTCTAAATTCTTCTTTCCTCCTTCATATTGTTAGTTTATTATTTTTCACGTGCTAATTGCCAAAAATTTAACTACATGTCTTGAAATACTTAAAACAATTCCACTTGTTGCTTGAATTTTTTTTAAAGGCTTCGTTTCTTAAAAATATCCCTGCTGATTTATATGAACTTGCTAGTAGCACACAGTCAAACTCTCTGTTCTAAGTGCTAGACTATTTAGGTTGTTGTTACACTTTCATAACGCCTAGTAGTTTGCTTTGAAATACTTAACACACTTATTATTGTTTAACTTATGATTTGTAACAATTTGCTTGATATCTAATTTCCCTGCCAAACTGTAAATTTCATGGGGCCAAAAATCATGCTTGCCTCGCTCACCACTGCATCCACAGAACTATCACAGCATCTATCTGGCACACAGTAGGCCCAAGGTAAATATTTATTGTACTATCTGATGATCAAGATTTGTGGAAGTACCAGACCAAAGTAATACTTTCTTGATTTCCCTTTTACAATTATTGAAACCTTTGGTATTGCCCCAGATGTAATTTGGAAAATTATCCTGATTCAATTCTTCAATTCAAGAAGTCTCTTTGGACTATTCCCTTTATAGCCTGAAGCTTTATAGTCTGATTTTTTTTTTCCTGGTTCAACCAGAAGTTCCTCATCAGACTTGCTATAGCTCTCCTCTCACACTGCTGAGATGACAAAATAGTTTCCCCTACTTGCTCCCAATAATTATCAGTAATCATCCTCAAAGAAAGCAGATTCTTTATTTAAAAAGAAGTTTTACAATTTGTGTCAACATCAGTTCATTCCATCTTCCTCTTTCTCCAATTTTAAACATAGTTGAATTATTCTAAAGTATGTGAGTGGTGGTAGACCCTGTGAACTGTGATTAGATGGATGCATATTTTCTTTCTCTCTCCCTCTAGAACAGTAATTCTCAACCCTGGCTGCATATTAGAATCAGCTGAGGAGCTTTGACAAAAAATACTGATGCCTGGGCCCCACCTTCAGGATAATATCTTATATCAATCATTTATGGTGAAGTCCAAGCATAGAGGTATTTGTAAAGCTCCTTAGAAAGTCTAGCACCCAGACCATCCCTTCCCAGAGCTATGTCTCCGTTTCTCCAAAGTCTGTCTCCAAAGAGCACAGTGCAGGGTTCTGTCCTCAGTGTTCTCTCTAAGTGTTGGTACTCCACTTAGCAAAGGAGGTCGTACGGCTGATTGCTCATCACCCAGTTCGTGAGTTAACTGTTCAACTCCTGAGCATGGGAACTGGAAATCTTACTTTCAGCCATTATTCTGGGTCCTGAAATAATCAGTGCAGAATTCCTTAGGTGAGGCATTTGTCAAATCAGTATAAACTGTAGCAAATACTTAAACATTATTAAAAGAAAAGCATATACATTCCTAATGAAAACTCAAATATAAGCTAACACAGGTCATTAGTCCTCACCGGGGTTTTAAGAAGCTGTATCACAGACGAGGCCTTTCAGGGTGACAAACAGTGTAAAGTCCTTGTTCACTGAACTTAGGGTGAGCCGAGGCAAGAATAACCTTAAAGAGTTGCAGCCAATGGGGTGTTAAGACATTTGTTGGTCCAATAGCTGGAAACAAGAGACCCGCAGATGTTACTGACACACAGCTTTTAGAGCAGTTTGTGCAATGGAAAATGCAATTCTTCCTATTGTGTTCATGAGACCCTGCCATCAAGATGCTACACATTTGTGAGCAAAGTTAGCTTGCAATTGAGAACGTCTTGGATGTGCTTCACCTTTCAGCCAGTAGAGGGAGATCGGAGATGCCCACCATAGGTGAGGATGTTTCCCAAAGCAGAAAGAGCGTGGAAGAATGGGTAGTGTTTGGATGAGAGGAGAAAAGAAAAAGGGAAGAAAGTAAACACGTTCTAAGCATCAGAAAACATAAACGGTAGCAAAATCAAGAGCAGAAAACCAGCATGGTGGATTTGGAGGTGATGAAAAGACCCATATCTGGAGCTGAAGCTTCTCAGGACAGAGCAGCGGAACAGGCAGTTACTGACAGATGTGTTTCTAAATGTCTGGTGCCAAGATTCTTCCACGAGTTTTAAAGTTAATGTCTTTTGTGAATATTTTTCACTTTTTTTCTTTTCTTTTCTTTCTTTCTTCCCTCCCTTCTCTCTCTCTCTCTCTCTCTCTCTTTTCCAGAAACTCATTTACAAATCTTTTCAAGGTTTTGGAGTTACACGCAACTCTATGTAGTCATTTGTTAAGAAGGACAAATATCATGGCTTCTTTAAAAATCAGAGTTTTGACTTGGTGGTGGTTGATGCTATAGATCATTGCACTTTCTGGTTGCTGAGAAACTTGGAAAGTCATTTGTGGCCATCTTTACTAGCACATTTGGAGTTGTGAATTTTGGGCTACCTGAGCTAGTATCTTATGTTCCAGCATTCCTCTCTTTTCTAACAGGTCGTATGGATTTCTGGAGCCGAGTGAAGAACTCTCTGATATTCTTCATTTCTGCCATGAGGGAATGGTGTAACCATGCTCAGTATGATAACACAGTCAGGGAACATTTTCCAGAAGGCTCTAGACCAGCGTTGTTTCATCTTCAGTGGAAAGCAGAGCTGTGGTTTGTTAACTCTGACTTCGCCTTTGATTTTGCCTGGTCCTTGCTTTCCAACACTGTTTATACTGGAGGTTTAACCATCAAACCTGTTGAACCAATACCTCAAGTAAGTACAACTTTTGTGCTCCAGGGTGACGTACAATTTTATACCAGTAGCAGCAGCATATAAGAGTTACAGTTAATTCACATCTTGCCAACATTTGGTGTTGTCAGTCTTTTTAATTTTAATTATTCTGGTGAATGTGAAATGGTATTTCTAGTTTTAGTTTTCATTTATTTGATGGCCAAGGGTGGTAAATATCTTTTAAGGTGTTAATAGTTTTTCTTACTTTTATTGGTGAAGTGTTTGTTCATCTTTAGCCCATTTTTAATGCAGTTGTTTATCTTTTTGTTATAGTTTTGTTCTTTATATATTTTGAATATGAATATTTTGTCAGATAAGCACATTGTAATTAAAATTTTCAGTTTGTGGATTTTATTTTATATTTTTATTTTTATTATTTTGTTGTTGTTGTTGTTGTTGTTTTTGAGTTGGAGTCTCACCCAGACTGGAGTGCAGTGGCCGCTCCCAGCCACCACAGTCTTGACCTGCTGGGCTCCGGCGATCCTTCCGCCTCAGCCTTCCAAGTAGCTGGAACTACAGGTGTGCGCTACCACG